TTTTTGCATCTATGTTCATCAGTGATATTGGTCTGTAATTCTCTTTTGGTGGTGTCTGCCTGGTTTTGGTATACAAGTTGCTAGATGAATAGACTGAAAATGTTACTTTGTTTTGCTTTGTATCTCTTGGATTACTAACTTTGAAGTTTTAAAAAATTTCTTACTGAATTCTTTCTGCAGAAATTATCTGTTCATCTCCTTTGTTCAGTTCTTTGTGTGTTTGGCTATAATGTGGGACTTAGTTTGAATAAATAGCTGATAGGAAGGAAGAGAAGTAACTGAACTTAACATTTAAACATTTTTCTTTTGAGGTGGCGGCAATCTGTACGATGGAAGTAGTGATTTTGAATTTTAGCTTTCATGCTTAGCTTAGATATGTACTCAGTGGTGATCCATTGTATGCACATTTAATTAATGTGAATTCAGGTAGAAAGAGTGAAAACAGTTGCTCACAGTGATTTAGCACTGTATTCTGCTGAATGAGCTTGTCTTGGAATGTGTGAGATGAGAGACTTGAATTTGCTCTTCCCCAGGTGATGTCTCCGTTCCTTTGTGCCTCAGAGTGAGTGAACATTTTGCTATGCTGAGTACGTTTAAAGTTTTATTCATATGGTGTGAGCTATAATACAAGGAAACATTTAGTGTGTCCCTGAATAAACGGTGATTTTTAAAATTGAGAGATAGTTTTAGTACTTCTTTACAAAGGGATTTGCAAGGATAGTTTTGACTAGATGTGATTTTTACCTTAATTACTGACTTGACATTGTTTAAGATTTGACATACTAGTTCACTCAAGTGTCCCCAACTTTTTGCCTCTGTACATGAAGTATTTTATCATGCCTAATGCTGGCATTCCTGTCAAAAGTAAGTGGCATTTAGGACTAGTATCCTTTGACTTACGATGTAGAAGTATGTTTTTTCAGCAGAGGAGACAATGGAAAGTTAGTATTTGATGAAGTTGTAGCAGATTTATCTCATTTTTGATGTTGCAGATGGATAGATGCATTTTAGTTAGGTTAAGGTGTAACATAACCTAACTCTTACGAATGATTCCAGGGTGCATAGTGTCATATCAGATGAGCTTTTTTTTCTTTAATTTTTTTTTTTTAAATCTACAGAGTGGTGGACATGACAACAAAGTCAATTGCATACAGTGGCATCAAGACAATGGCTGTTTGTATAGTTGTTCAGATGATAAACACATTGTGGAATGGAACACACAGACGTGCAAAGTAAAGTGGTGAGTAACGTTGATAGTTCTGGGGTAATGTGGTTACTGTTTGGAAATGCATTAGTTCAACAAATCAAGGCTGTATTCTTGATAGAAGTGAAGTTTGATATTGGACACAGTGGAGAATGTAGACACCAGTAAGGTTATAGACTGTTCTCAAGGAACTTTTAATTAAGTTGGGTGTGGAAGATTTTAATACATAAAAGTTAAATAATGGTACAAAAGTGAAATATCTGCACAAGAGATTCCATAAAGTAGCATGTAATTACTGGTCAGATGAGTAGGGTAGCGTTGGAAAGACCTGGTAGAAGAGAAGATTTCACTTGGGTTTTCTAGGAGAGGTAAGATGTGGATAGAAGAGGGTGGGAGAATCCTTTTGAGGGTAGGGAAGGAAAGGTGGGGTGGGGATGTGGTAGGCGCAGGGGTTAGGAGAAAGGAAAGTGAAAGGTTTACTTGCAACTGAGTAGAGTGATTTAGAGGAGGGCCATCCTAGGGCATAATGTCTATTAGAGGATGTGAGCCGAGGAGTCTGGCCTTAAGTGTCGTAGATAAAAATTTCAGACAGCTCTGCTAGTTCAAGCACCTAATCCTGTAATTGGCTGTAATAGATTTTTAGTAAATGTGGACTGTTGAATGTAGTTGAAGTTAGTACGTAGATGTGGACCCTAAGGAGGGTGATGATGCCCATGGTCTTAAAGCTAGTAAGTGACAGGGAGTCCTCATCCTGCTGTCTCGAATTCTGGTACTTTATTTTCCTGCTATACTAAAACTACTGTTTTGGAGTTTTGGATTCTACTTGATAAGCAGGAGACACTGAAGATCAGAATAATGCTCTGGGAAGAAAATCTGGCACTGTAGAATATGTGGGAAGGAGCTCCTTCAAAGGCAGAAAAGCCAGATCCCAGGTGGTGGTTGGAATAGTCTGGGTGTAGGACGGTAAGAGTGGGAAGGAAGAAAGGAATAAATACCAACCAAGAAGAACCTTGGGTAGGATAGAAGATAGGTGGTATTGAGTGCAGAAAGGATTTAAATAAAATGTAACTAGTTTTCAATTTTCTGAACTTATTAGGTGACTAGTGGTGCAGTTAATAGAAATTTGGAAGAGAGAAGTGGTTTTGGAGTTTTTAAGCAAATTGAATTTGACGTAGCATGTGAAAGGCAAGACCTGGCAGGTGGGATGGTGATAGAGGCTTAGAATTTAAAGGAGGGCTTGGGGCTGAAGGTGCAGAGAGTAGTCGTCTGCCTAGAGGTTCAGTAAGTGCACTCCATTTACCTGTGGCAGTAGTTTCCACACTGGTGACTAAAGAGACACCTGTGGAGATTCTCATCCACCAGGCTGGGGTCGGGGTCCCTGAAACAGAGCTTTTAAATGCTGTCTGGACAAGAGTTCACCAATTCAGGGACTAGTAATGTTCAAGGCACTGTTCGGCATGTTATACACAGTATTTGTAACACTGGGGTAGTCTCCATCCCTGTTTTATAGTTAAGAAATAGGTTGAATCAGAGCCTGAGCTCTTATTCCAGACTTTTCTCCTGCAGTATTGTGTTTCCAGTTTCATTCTTGGCATTCCTATGCTATTGTTCATTGATTTTGTTTTCCGTTTTAGGTACTGTCTGTTGATTTCCTACTATAGAAGATGAGGATTTAGCTCTTAGCCTCTCCCTTTTTCCATTCCCATTTTCCCAATATTGTAGCACACTTCTGATTAAGCAGTATTCATTGTTCACATTATGACTACTACTTAAATATTGTCACAGCTGAGACTTGGACTGCACTGTTTATATTATCTTTTTGGCACAAAATTTTGCTTTTCTTGGGGTTTATAACTGCTTTATTGTTCATTTGCTTAGTTTTGTGTATACTTGTAAGTTCAGTCTCATTCCTGCAGTAGTGTAAATCTGTTATTTCAGACACACAAATTAATCAAGTATATTAATCTTCGGAACTTTCTCTTCAGTTTCATTTTTCTTGGAGGACCTCTCTGCCTTCTTCCAGTGATTATCCTGGGATTTCTTTTCATCATTATTTTGAAAATTCTCTCGTCAGATGGAGCCTCAATTTCCTGGATCTCACTTTTGTCTTTGGTTTATTACCTCTTTTTTGTGACCCATACAAATTGGTAGCTTCTTGAAAAAGGGTCGATGGTAAATTTACAGAGATTTGCTTATCTACTAGCGTCTTTACCCTCACAGTTGATTGATAACTTGAGGATACACACTTTGGGGTTGGAAATAATTTTCCCCCAGGATTTGAAGCATTGGTACATTGGGTTCTTTTTTAGCTTTCATTGTTAATTTTTGGTGGGGGGGTAATTAGGTTTACTAATTTATTTTTAGAGGAGGTACTGGGGATTGAACCCAGGACCCTGTATATACTAAGCATGCACTCTACCACCTGAGCTGTACCCTCCCCCCTCACTGTTAATTATTTTTATATTCTAAAATATCCTGTGCTTTTTATCTTTAGTCAATGAATTACATTGGCACTTGAGGGACCACTTAGTCTGGAAATTCATGTTCTTCTTGTACTGTGTATTTTATAATTTCATCCCCTCTGTTTTCTTTGATCTTTCTCTAGTGCTGTATATTATTTAGGTGGTGCATCTTCTGGACTAATTCTTTAATGTTTCGTACTTTATTCTCATTTTCCCTTTTGTTGTTTTCTTCTGTACTTGAGAAGCAATTTCGTCTTCTAAATCTTGTATTGAATTTTTAAGGTTCTCTAACCATATTTTTGACTTATGGAAGCTATTTTTTGTTTGAATTTTTGTTGCATCATGTTTCTTTCGTGCATGTCATATTTTCTAACTCTGAAAATACAATAGGATTTGAAGTTTTTTACTTTGCAGCATCTCCCTCTTGAGGGTATGTTTTAATTTTTGTTTGATTTTGGTCTCTTTCACATTAAAGGCATTCTTTAAATGACTGGAGATCCTCAGCTGCCTGATGTTTTTTGAAAATGAAACATTAAAGAGCTGTGTGGGTGTGGTGCTCAATTGCTGGGCTTCATTGGTAGAGTGATTGGGAGGCCTTCAGTGTTACTATGTGTATGTAGGTCATCCCCCTGAAACCAGTCACATTTCCCAACGAGGAATTTTTTGATTAGTGCTCTTCAAGCTTTAATGTGCACATATGTTACTTGTGTTTACAGATCTGATTTAGTAAGTCTAGGATGAGACTTGGAAATTCTAACAAGTTCCCAGGTGATGTTGATAGAGGAAGAGTACACATTAGTAAGCCCTTAATGGGGAGTGGGTAGGGGTCCTGGTGGTGGTAGTTCTATGCTACTCAGTGTTGAGTTGGGAAGTAGATTCAGGAAGCTTGTTAGGATGGTGGTATCTTTTTTTTTCTTTTCTCTTTTAAGTGTATCTATTCAGTGACTAGATGTTGCCTAAGGAATATAGGTGAGTGTTGAAGCTGTGGGAATTGAGAAATTTTCAAGAGTGTTAGGAACCAATGAAGGTAAAGGAAAAGTTCTCTTACATTATTGCTGCATTTCCTTGACTACTGGTGAAGTTAGGTGTTTTTGTGTTTATTGACAGTTTGTATTTGTTCTGTGAATTGCATGTTTATATTCTTTGTCTTTTTATTTTGAATTTTTTAAAACTTGAGTTATTGAATATAAGGAGCTGTTAATGTAGTCTGAATATTCTTTGCCTGTATATTTTTGATATTTTTCTCATAACCTTTTGCTTTTAATTTTATGACTTATTTTGTGGTACAGAAGTTTTATTTATTTAAATTTGATTTTTTTGTTTGTTTGTTTGTGATTCCTTATTTGTAATTGCTTTGGAAGGTCTTTCCTAACCCCAGGATTATAAAAACATTTTCATACGTATTTATTTTTAATCAGTTAGTTTTGGTTTAATTTATTAAGCTTTGTATGTAGTATAAGATAGGAATCTAGTTTTGTTTTTCCAAATGAGTAATTTGACATATTCCAATGTGACTGGCAGAGCAGTTTGTTTTCTTCTACTTTAGAATTAACCTCTTTTGGTAAGAAGATTGTTACTGTTTTGTGTTTGTTTGTTTGCTTGCTTGTTTGCTTAAATTTTTTTTAATGGAGGTACTGGAGATTGAACCCAGGACCTTGTGCTGCTAAGCATGTGCTTTACCACGGAGCTGTACCCTCCCCCTACTAGTGTTATTTCTTGATTTTATAAGTGAATAGCCAAGCTCCTTGTTACTTATGAAAGCATTAATATATGCAACAATCTGCAAAGACTCTTGTTGCTAATTTATTTGTGGCATTAGAAGGGGATCATTTATACCTGTTTATTTTACCCTATCAGATGAGGGCATATCTCTTTGGATTTAGGGTAGAATTAATCTTTTTGTACTGTAGATTGAGAGATGATTTGTGTTGCTAAGTAAATTAAATTCTCAACCTTCCAGAGAATGCAGGAACCAAGGAGGGGAGAGGATGGGCTTGCAGAGATCCAGCCAGCATGGTAGTTTTTTGGGCATTAACAAAATCCCCCTCATGGATCACAGAGTACACAACTGCCCATTTTACATTCTTACAAGTTTTTTTTTTTTTTAACTTAACAATGGAGTACTGGGGATTGAACCTAGTACTGGGAATGCTAAGCATGCACTCAACCACTGAGCTATCCCCTCCTACACACACTACACACACACACACACTCTATATCTCTCTCTCTCTCTCTCTCTCTCACACACACACACACACACACACACTCACTCACTCACTCACTCACTCATAACTCTTAATCACTCATTTCCTGGTACCTCTTGAGAATCTCTGTCATGTAGGGATGCATTATCTTGATGGTATGTCCAAAGTTGGTTGCCTGACACAACATTTTAGGGAGTGCAGTTTTGCATAGAACCTTGGGTGATATTTTTAATGCCTAATTTGCTTTTTGTTATTTTTTTGCTCTAGGTAAACTTTTGTCCCCATTTATTGAGATGTTTTTGTTTCTCTTAACAATATAGCAAATGGAAAGGAGATAATAGCAGTGTCAGTTCCCTGTGTATCAGCCCAGATGGAAAGATGTTGCTTTCAGCTGGCCGAACAATCAAACTATGGGTTTTGGAGACCAAAGAAGTCTACAGGGTGAGTAAATCAAATTAGTTGTAAGCATAGCAGTCTTCTAGGTAAGTGTGGAGAAAGGCAGAAGTCTAAGTGATAGAATGTTGTTTTAAGAATACAGATTTTTTATTTTTAAGCATATGAAATGGTAGAATTAATAGATAAAAGGTAGCCTCCAGATCTGTTAAATGTTAGACCATGTCCATTTCACATGCATTGGAAAAATGAACATGAATGGAATTTGAATTAAAAATCTTTTACTGTATTCAATAATTATAGTAATTTTTGACTTCTAGCTTGCTTCCGGCATTTGGTACACTTGTAGTATTTAACTGTTGAGATTGAGTGTTACATTTTGAGTGTACTCAAGGATTACTGAACTTTAGGTGCTGTGATGACACCTTAAAATTGTGGTTTCTACTCACTGAGAGTAACATGAGGACCTGCTATTCCTTGGCTGTGTCTGAGCACCCAAGCACCCTTTTAGAAATGGATAAAATGAAGTGAATCTTTAATGCAAAAAAGGATAAAGTAAAGATTGTGGAGTAGGTCATGGGAATTAGAAGGGAAATCTTTAATGTTCAGTTTTTTCAGATGGAGTTTTTTTTAACTGAGGAATGCAGCACAAATAACCTTAGTCTGGAGCTCTGATTTCAGATATGTGTCATATATATAGTTACAAGTTGTTACCACTTTATATCCATCCTCTCCTAAATGAGATATAACTTTCTCTAGCACTTCACGGGACATGCGACGCCAGTTTCATCACTTACGTTCACTACTATCCGACCTCCTAATGAGAGCCAACCCTTTGATGGAATTACAGGTCTTTATTTCTTATCTGGAGCAGTACATGACCGGTTACTTAATGTCTGGTATGTAGTCTTGAATTTGGGAGGTAACATTGCTTTAAAAGATTCTGTCACAGCTTATATGGTTAATATAAATTATGGGTATGAAACTTGCTTTATTGTGTTTAATACTAGATTTACATTGACTTGTAATGAAGAATTGACCCTGCCTGAAAACCAGATTTTTATGAGAAAAATTTAAGAGCATTACATAATAGAACTTCCTCCATGCTTATTTAGAAGTACAGTGGGCTGAATATTTTTGTGACTGGGCAATTAAAAAATAACCTTTTAAAGAAAAATTTTAGGAAAATCTCTGATTTTGTTGAAAGAAAGGACTACTGGGTTAGTGTAGTAATGTCTACTGATGGATGATTTACTGAGGACATTAAATTCCTAGACTGTCTGAGAATCCCAGTAACCTTTTTTTGCAGTAGTTGCTATCACTAATTCCCTTTGAAGCTACTTTTAAAAGTAAAAATTAATTTGGTATTAAACAGCCATCAAAATTTTTTTTTAATTTAAGAAATACAAGAAATTTCTCTGATTTTATAACATCATCTGATGGTGAAGTTATCTTTTTTACTTGCCATTCATGAACAGAATAAGTAGAGGTTTAAAAAATAGAAGTAGTTTCTCATCTTAGTAATCAATTAGTTGAGCATGCTCTTGACCATGTAAAGTTTCTATAAATTTATGCCATATAATACTCAGAACTGGGACTCATCAAATACGAATTTCTTAAAGTAGTTGTGTGGGGAAAGGTTCATGAGGACCTCTGTTCACCTCTGAACATCAACTTGCTTCCTAATTATGTCTGTCTTTAATTGTATTGCTTTTCTCATCTGTGTCTAATTTTTGAGGCACGCCTGTTGGGATAATTTCTTTTAGTTCTAGAGGTTTTATCATTTACAGAAGAAATTACTAATGCCAGAAAAATTAAAATCTGCCACCAGAATCTCTTGACATTGCTAGGATTTTTGAATCTTAAATGCCTCACCTCTTTGGCTTCTGAGACTAGGGCTTTCCAAGTAAAAAATATCTTATGTAACAGAAAAGTTGATTTCTATTGTCTTAAGGTCCTGAAAATATGTGTTTTCCTGGAGCTTCCTGGTAACAGAGGAGTAAACTATAAAAACAAACAAGTTAAAAATGCATATTGAAAGGCTGCCCCAAAAGGCCATTCTTGAAAACTTTGGGTTTTGGTGGGTAGAGCAAGCCCAAGTTTCCTTGGTAATTATTTTTGAAAGACATTTCTGAAAGAAGATAATTTTTGAAGGCTTCTTGCCACTGAATGAAGATTAAAATGAAAAAAAAAAGAAACGACTTTTGTATTACTACAAGGAGGCAGTACTGTCTCCTATTGATGGGCTCAAATAGCATTTTCTACTGTATATGGTGGTCTGATAGTGGTGATTTTGAATATGTATGTAGTGTGAGTAACTTCATTTGAGAATGAATCTTGTTTTTTTAAGAATTTATTGTGCGTGAATATTTAAAATTTATCAGACATCAAATCTTAATTTTCTTCTAGACACAAAAAACTGAAAGATTGTTTATTGATAAATACATAAAATCTGACTAGTTGATTAAAAAGAAACTGATTTTGAATGATGTTTGTAAGTCACGCTTGTTACTCTGTTACTCGGTCTTTATTTTTTAAATTTGTGTCCAGATTTATTGAGCTTTACTGAGGTATAATTGACATATAATAAACTGTACATATTTGAAGTATGTAATTTGATTGATAAGTTTTGACATATGTATACATATGTGAAATTGTTACCACATCCAAGATACTGACCATGTGCATTGCTCGCAAATGTTTCCTCATACCCCTTTGTAATCCCCCTCCCTACTCCAGTCTACAGGCTTGTTGACATGTCTGGGACATTACAGATAACACTGTTATGGACATTTGTGTACAAGTCTGTACAGACTTATGATTCATTTCTCTTGGGTAAATTACTTAGGAGTATAATGGCTGGATCATATGGTAGGTGTATATTTAACTTTTTAAGAAACTGCAAAATGTTCTTCAGGTGGTTGTACTGTTTTATGTTTCCACCAGCTGTGTGTCAGAGTGCTAATTCCTTTACATCTTCACTAACACTTGATATGGTCTTTTAATTTTAGCCATTTTAATAAGTGTGTAATGGTATCTTAGTGTGGTTTTAATTTGAATTTTCCTAATGGCTGTTGATGTTAAGAGTCTTTTGTATACTTATTTGCTATCTGGATGTGCTTGACAAAGTGTTCAAATATTTTGGCCTGTTTTCTGCTGGGTTGTTTTCTTAGAGTTTTGAGAGTTCTGTGTATATTCTGAATATAAATTGATTATTAGGTAGATGCTTTGCAGATATTTTCTCCTAATCTGTGGCTTGTCTTTTTGAAGAGAAATAATTTTTAATTTTGATGAAGTCCAGATTACGGAAGTCTTTGCTTCCAAGGTCACAGAATTTTTCTCCTGGAAGTTTCTTAGTTTTAGGTCTTAACATTTATTTGGCTCTGTAATCTATTTTGATTTTTTTTTTCAATATTTGTGTATATGGTACGAGGAATGTATTGAGGTTCGTGGTTTTGCATTTTGGATATCCAGTGGTCCCAGTACCATTTGTTGAAAAGAGGATCTCCAGTGAATTGGTTTTGCATGTATATACATCCAAGCAATTCTTTTTTTTTCTTTCCATTTTTCAGTTTTACTAGGTAGAATTGTTACAGTTTGACTACACATATACAATGTATTGCATGTAAATACATATACACAATATACTGCACATATTTTTAAAATTTACG